CCCCCCCCCCCCCCCCCCCCATCCCTCATTGACAAAACTGGAGCAGCTACAGTTGGGGCCAATGTAGTCACGTCAATCGGTGACAAGATAAGTCTACATTACTTGTGAATCCTGTCTGATGTGTCATATCGCTGTAAGTAGTCTGAATAGGGTGCAATAAGAATCAAAGCACGCATATGTAGAACGCTTGCACTCATCATTGTTCGTGAGCGAAACTTCATCTCATCGGTGCTCTGTATTAGATCATCTAAGATTTTGATGAGCCGCGGAGCGCGAAGCGCGATATTTTTTCTCTTCATCCCCAGGAGGGAAAACAGGCTCTAAATATCGGGCTATCTCAACCATCGCGCTGCAGAGCGACCCATCCGCAAAACCCTGCGGATAATCCCTGTATATTTGACGAGAACGAGGTCTACAGAGCACCGATTTACGATGTGCTGGCTCGTGAGGAGGAATCTAATAAGGGCACTCTCCGTCACACCGGCATAATCGCGCTCTGACAAACAGATGGCCGTGCTTGACACGCATTTGCTACCAAAATATTCGAAACGTCCCCGGGCGTTCGACGAGACTTAAAGAAACGCAAAAGCGGAGATCTGTACACACACACGCAGTTGCTCGGTTTCCAACCCGGGGGACACAGAGGAAGCACTCAGTAAGCTAAATAAACACGCAACACCGTTGGGGGGGCAAGACTGCATTGACGAGGGAAGGGAGCCACACACACAGTTCGTGGCGGATGTCATCGCCACTGCTGTTGCTTCTGGCGTGTGGGAAGAGGGATTATCGGGAAACGACACTTTTGCGCCTGGGACATAAATTCTACGAACTCTGATGACCCCATAAGAGACAGACTCGGCGTTTCGTTGTTTTGCAGGTTTTGCCAAACGCTCGAGTTTCTGAGCATACTACAGCCTCCTCGTCGGTGTTAATCTCCACACAAGACGGAGCATGGACACAGCTCGCGGCGGATACCTTTGTTATCCCTGTTAATTTCGTGTGTCAGGAGGGGTCACCCGGAAACTAAACTGCTGCTGTTCAAGGGGCAAAAAAGCAGGGAGCCTTATTGGTGCCCAGCGCCATCCATGGCGTTTTTCCCGCATGCATGCACTGCTGCCGAATAGAAGAGAGATGGGAGTCATTGCCATCACAGCAAAGCAGCAGCACTACAAGTGCATTTGTGTAAGCTATGCATATGCAATACCTATGTTCATTCGTGTCTGTGTCAGTGCTGCTGTTAGGTGCCGATCGTTGGAGGTACCAGCTCGGAGGTACTGCTGTTTGTTGCGAGGCGAGCATGCTCCTCCGCTTCTGATTTGGAGAAACATATTGTCAACAAACTTCCAGCGGGAGCGGGTACAAGGTCGTGGAAGATCCGTTGGAATATTATTCCGCAAAGTACGCTGTACAGTCGTGGGCCCGGTTTAGCGGTTCATACTGTCACAAAAAATTATAACCGCTATTCAGGGCATCGCCGCTAAAATTCTCCGTAGATCATTAACCGCTAAACCAGGAGGCTCAATAGCGGCCATGAACCGGTACACCGGGAGGAAGCTCATTTTCGCCCTACAAGAGCAGCGTCGAAAGCTCATTTTGACAGGGGTCATTGTGGCAGCCATACGAAGGTGCAGATGAAGGAGTAACGAGCCAAAGAAGGACAACGCCGCAAGTACACTCGTTCATGGTGCATTTTAATTCGCCAAAGCACGAACCTTATTCTCCCTTCTGGACTGTATGCCCCTCATCAAGACTGGAACATCGTTCGCGTCTCTGACCAATTGAAGGTGATGAGACAAACTTGTCACAACGCAATGGCATCCAACCACGTGCTTAAGCATTTAATTTCTGCCATTTGTCACGTATCGATCACTCTTAACCCAACATAATCTCTCTGATATTTGGCTTGCGCGCTGGTTGAGCGGCGCGCGCCGCGAGGAACGCCATTTTTGCCTTGCGAAAATAGTGTGCTGCTTCGCTTAAGCCACACGACTCACTCCGCGCTCTCCACACTGGCAAAAATCCGATGATAGCTCAGAGTATGTATGGTGGCGGCGCCGTCACCCCCCTGCCCTTCGCACCGTCAACTTGTGCCGTGGTATCTAGCCCTAGCTCTAGGTCGTCGTCGGAGGGCTTAGGCCCCCGTCCATGTACATAATGGACAATTTTCAACAACCTCGTCATGGCGTCTTTATGCAAAGCTTCGGCTATCTCTTCCTGTGCGCGCTATTTCTGAGTAGTGCGCTACCTTCTGGTCAAGAAGCTTCAACCTCGAGCTTGTAGCCAAAGTTGAGCCGCTTGTGGGGCTGTTGTGTAGCTTCAGCGCGAGTTGCTTCTTACCGCGCGCCTGGTGCTAGAAAGCCACCTTCCACCAGGCGAGGGGAACTCTGCGCCTTCTTGGTTGCACGCCGGTGGCATCTTGTTGTCATCCGGATCTTCCACCTCCCCACACAGGCCGTGCGTGTGGCCGTCACAGCAACCTTCACAATCGTGCGCGCCGCTTGGACTCAGTGCCGCATCTAGAAGCATGCACAGTTCTCCATCCACGCGCCGCATGGTGTGTCTTTATTATTAGCATCGGCCGCGCTAACCGGTTGACTAATGAGAAGACGTCGTCGTCAGTCTCAGTGCGGTTGAAAACACAAAACACTTGTATATGCCATTAGCCGGGGCCCCGTGAGGGGGCGGCATGGGACAGGCAAAAGCTTTTCTCCGGATGAAGGACCGAAACGGAAGCAACAGAGGAAAACTGCTACCTTGCACTCGAGTTCGTTTTGGAGCTCTTTCACCATCACTCTCATCGTCGCTTTTACAGCTTTTTTGGCGATTTTTCTCTAGCCCTGCGTCGGTTAGTGTGAGTATGTCTCGCTGTGCCCTTTTTATTATGAGCATCCACCAGCTAATAGGCTGTGACCAAAGTCGCTCTGCTGTGAGTACGTGCAAGCGAAGAGCTGTGAGTACGTGCAAGCGAAGATCGCCCTAGGTCTCCGCAAAAATTGAACCGATAACCGCTTTTGGTGTCTGAAAATATGTCCAATAACCGCTATTGAGGGCACGACCGGTTTAGCGGTTACGTAGCCGCTAAACCGGAACGTAACCGCTGAACCGGAATGCAGCCGTGTCACGAGATTGAATACTAACCGCTATCGAGGGCATCCCGCTAAACAGGGAACCGCTAAACCGGGCCCACGGCTGTACCTGAATTGCGCGTGCTCGGTTGCTGTGTTGCTGCCTGGAACGCAGCGTGTCTGTCTCGCACCTATAATAGCACAGCGTCGCAGATAGACTACTGCAAGGTATGGAGTCGTCACCCGCGGCTCATTATCTAGATATAGTAGATACTGCTGTTGTTAGGCGGTAGGTGTCCGCCCTACTTGAAGTAGCCGTCGCTCTCATGACGTCACCGTCGGCACGCACAGTCCCGCATCAACGACAGCAACAACCGCCACCTAAACACGGAAGGCCGATTCGACCAGTCACCTGCTGTGCCGCCAGGAGGACTGGAAGACATGGAAGGAGTCACGAACGCGTTTGACCTCTCGATAAGGGCACACGCAAGTATCGAGAGCAAACGCAGGAACATCGATAATACGCGGACACGCTCCTTCTCTTTCTCTCACGCGTGACACACTTCTTCGCTGCTGTGGTGCAGCAGACTCCAAAATGCACCTGGTGTGCACGTAGGGGCTGCCGTAACGGAGCTGGCTAGCTTGCTGACAATCTCAAGGGGACGGAGGGAAGGGGCCAGCAGCTAGCACGGGGCGAAGGCAGCGATGAGCTGGAAGCTGGAAGGTACAATCAACTGCGGCGGAATTGGTATGTCCTCCTCCCCACCCCCACCCTCGTCCAGTTTTCTCTGTCTCTCCCCCCCAAATTGCTGCGCCGCACCCTTGCACGACACAACAGCAGGCAGGTACGTCTGAGCACGAAGCTAAGAGCAAGATGGCGCACAGGGTCCAACTAGCGTTGTACGACTTGTCACGCGGAATGGCGAAAGCGATGAGTATGGCAATACTGGGAAAGCAAATTGACGGTGAGCACCAACGCATTCCTTGTCCGCGTGCTTTGGATTTGTTACGATGTTTGCGTCGATTAGTCTGTAGGCGGAGGAAATGTGTTGCAAAGATTCCAGACGCACCACCAGCGAATGCGTTGATCGTTTTCTTGTAATGCACGGCATGTTTCAGTTTAGGGGCTGTTTCGTACACGTTGATGTTTTTGAGATGTTCTGTTGATTGAAAAGCAGAGAAAGAAATCACAGGCAGATCTACATGTAGACTTACGTATCGATCGTTCCAGAAAGATCTAAAGAATTCATCCCGCACCCCATGGGTGTTGTAGTGGGATACGATACGTATGTAAGCTACACCACCCAATGTGTACACAGCAGAGCGGCGTTTGATTCCCTTCGCGGGGCAGAATGAGGCCGGTGTAAGGTGGACTTTTGGATTGTGTTTTCTGTGACGTCTGTGTGGCGTGCAGAGTCCGCACACAAAGAAGATATGATCCATCTGGAGCAATCGGGCGTGAGGTGGGAATTATTCGAAGGAGATGGAAAGTAGCTAGGGATTGCGTCCTGCTTCGTAGTAATGCCTTACGCCGACCTGCTTTCGACCAACCAGACAAGCAATACGCCATCCTACAGTCATACTGCGCGGAAGTGGGGGACTTTTCTCGTCACCCGAAGGCACTGCTTACTGTAGATTGCTCGACTGCTGATATTCTGCTGTACTGCTGTGTAGCAGCTGGTTTGTCATGCAGTGGCAGGGTGTCGGTTTCAAAATAGGGAAATCGGCTTTAGCAGGACTACCGCTATCTATATCCATACATGCTCTTCTTGGTGTCATCGGGTCCTGTGCGACACAAATAAGCTAATGCGGTAGTTAGGACCGGCACTTAGGAACCCGAGAGTAAAGAAATTCAGGCTCCCAAGAAAAGAGTAATCGATGAACTTGGCCGTAAGAACACGTGTTCAGTCAAAAATATGCACTAAAACCTACTTCTAACAGTCACTTTTGGGGTACTCTATAGAGAAGACAAGAAACGAGCCTCGACCAAAATGGGAGCTCCTTTAAGTGCCGTCGCTAACTCTTCAGATATCTTATTGGAGTTAAGTAGGAGTACTCGGTACTCATGACTGTGGTATCTGCAAGTTCGTTGTTGACGATTATGGAGAGGATTGCATGGAACTGAAGAACTGAAGGCATGCACCGCAGAAAGAAGAGCAATACGCTGGTTGACACCTCCGCGTCGTGCGGACCGTGCCACGCTACGCCCAGACACGTATCCTGTCCCTCGGCACACGCGACGACCACCACATCAGCGGCACCTGACGCCGGAAGGGTGGAGGGGTCGCTTGGAAATGTGCGGGGGGGTTCGCTCGGAATTGTCCCCAAAACTACATCAACAACCGTCTCTCGAACGTCGTTTTTCTTTCGAAGTCTTTCGGGAGCCGTGGGTGCGGCCATGCAGCGACTTGACTGTTTGCGTGGGGCGTGCCGGTCAAAGGTTGAAGAGCTGTTCTCTGACCGGCTGATTCAGCGAGCATGCCCCGTTGCTCACCTTCATGGTGAAAAGATTCGTTAAGACCGGCCACTTGTTGCCTCGTGCTGCGCCCGTGCAGAGTACAGCAGCAACGAGCGCTGACCGTGTGGTTGTTTACCTCTCCTTGATTTGACAGGAATCTGGCACACAGGCATCATCGTTTACGGGAAGGAATACTTCTTTGGTGGCGGCCTGCAAAGCATGCCCCACGAGCAGTTCGTCCAGATGCACGGAGGGGTTGGGCCAACCGAGTACATCGAGCTAGGGTATACGGATCTCACACAGGTGTGGATGAACGAAGTGCTTGTGGGGTAATATCTACGTGCCAGCAGCGCACATGCGCCATGTAGTACAGCACATGTCGTCCGTCGCGCACCAGACGCAAGTGCAAGGGTGTGTTCGTCCCATCTCTCCTGGGTGCCAGTCTATGCCTTTCGTTCGGCATGTGCTTGGCGCACCAGCCGGAGGCAGCCACACGGCAGGTGCTGCATCTAAAACACAGCAGCACATTGGTGGTAGTTGGCTCGGACTTTTGATTGGAGTTGGGTAGTAGTGATGCTGCTGCGTGCATATGTTATCAGTTCTCCGCTCTCATCGACGGCGCAGCAGGCCTCTGGTTCTTGGCAACGGCTTGGCTCGTGGCCTCTCTTCACCTGCAATACTCCGGATGATCGCCACGCATGCACCCTCTCGCTGTTTGCGGCATCGAACTCTGCCCGCCTTGTACTTACCAGGATTCTGCTCGTTTTTTTTTGCTTTCCGTTCTTGGCCCGCTCTCTTTCTCGCCCATTTATTTTACTCTGTTTGACAGGAGCTCTTCGAAGACTTCAACCGAGAAGTACAACCACGCTTCACGGCTCAAACGTACGACCTGATGAAGCACAACTGCAACACCTACTCCAACGAGGCGTCTCAGTTTCTGCTTGGCAAGGGGATCCCGGAGTGTGAGTCTGTTTGCAGCATGGCGTAGATGAGCGTTGAGGCAAAGGGTAGGAGGAGATGCTCTTCTAGCGTGTCTTTGGTTGGGATGGCAGGATTCGTGTCCCGGTCGAAATGTGCCGTTGGAGATCTTTGTTGCAGACAGTTATCTCTGGTGGGTATTCGTGTGAGGCGTGGCATTGGTTACCAGCACGAACGAGAGTAACCTTCCAACCTCTTGTATGCTACACTAGTCCCTCGTCGTGACTTCCTTTTGCACCTTTCCCTCGTGTTTCACGGACTCCCTGCAGACATCGTCAATCTCCCGCAAGAGGTGCTGAATTCGCCCATGGGAGGGATGCTAAGGCCACTCGTGGAACAAATGACTACACAGGTGCGCCTTAGCTATGTATCTTAGTGTGCGTTGGTTTTCTCGTATTTCACAGGCGCATGTGGTTGTACTGCCGTGAGCCTGCCACTTTTCCCGATAACTCCTGCTCTGTTTCTTTTCCTTTCGTTTGAACGCCGGTGTTATAAGATGAACGGTGCAGATCCCTACTCTGCTCTACACCACCTGCAGCAACAGCAGCAGCTGGCTGGGGCGGGCAGCGGGGCAGGAGCAGCAGCATCGCAGCCGACCCAGACTCCAGGCGCGGCTGCGGCAGCAGCGGCCGAACAACGAGCTGCCGCTGCTGGAGCTAGTGCTGCCGATCCCCCGCAGTGTAAGACGGATGGCTTCCCTATCTTGGACAAGCATACCAAGCCTCTCGTTGGTTCGGACACGGCGAAGGCGGTGAGAAGTTACGGGTGCACGGGCGATGCAGAAAGTGTATCACAAGCAGGCAGAGAGCGGATCAAGAACAGGAAGCACGGTGCAGGGAGTGCATGAGGCATGCCTGGCATGCGTACTATGTTAAGTCGGTCTTGTAATCGGTGGTGGTGTGTTCTGCTTGCAAATTCTGGCCCGCGCCTCTGCACGTCAAGTATCTATCCGACTGACGGGACGATCCAAGATTTGCACAGTAACCTTGTACTCGTTGCGATTGTGCTTCAAAGGACAGGGTCGCCCTGTTGAGGAAGCAATAGTCAGGACATTCACACCCCGAGAGAGAGCACAACGCTACTATTGCTGCCGGTTTTCTCAACAATTTCTCTTCCTCGCCCCCCCCCTACCCCCCCCGGACGCCGCGTTACGCACTCCCGCATGTCTCTCCATCTACATGCAGGCTCCGGGGGTGGTGGCACGCGTGAAGGCCTTAGGAGCCACGGTCAAGTTGCTTTCTGAGGAGGAAATTGCCGTGTTGGACGCCCTCCCACCTTCGATGGCTGCCACGAAGACCACCCCAGTCGCCCCGGGTGGTTTCCGACTCATGCAGAAAATCCTGACCAAGGATTCAGGCTGGCCAGAGAAGTGAGTCGAGTCAGCCCCGTGTATGCATGCAGCAGTTCGCGTTGAGGAGCCCCATGAATACACGCTTTCGCAATGTGGTAGGTATTTCGGATTGCTCCCGTTTCTCTCATGTAGCCCACTTGGGTGGCTCTTGCTTGCTCACGGGGGCCCCGTGGATAATTAGATGGTCCGTCCTTCGGATAGAGCCCCTCCGAATTAATCATTACCCAAGTGCAGTGCTGGCAACAAAGGTGGGAAATGTCACCCGCGTGTGAGTCCGATCAGGGTGTCATTGCGATCGAGAACTCCGCACTCAACTCTTTTTTCACTCGTGCTCGCGCGGCGCTCGACAAACAACGCCGATGAACGAAAACCATCTCAGGGCGACATTTTTGGCTCTCGTGCTGATGAGCTTGATGGTGCTGCACCAGGCGGAGGGCACCGAGATGGAGGAGGCTATGATGCAGGTGGCCAAGCGAGTTCAGACGGCAGGAAACGTACAAGAGCAGCTGTCCGCACAGGTGATAACCATTGCTGGTGGCAGCGGCGGCATGTGAGACGCCCGCCCTTTGGAATCTTTTACGGGCGTGCCCCTGGGTTAGTTGTCGAGCCTGACCGGATTGGGCCTCACATGCACCTCTCAAGCAAGTTTGTTGGGGCCAAGAATGATGACGAGGCGTATCCTCTTGGCCCTATCACCGCTCTTGGGATCGCTTCTTCAGTTCGATGCCGCTGTTGCCCTCTGGCGAGCAACCCGATAGGCGAGCTCCACGGTGATAGCATCGTCTGCGTGCAGGCAGGCAGGCAAACACCCCCATCAGAGACAAGGAGGAACGATCGCCTTTGGCGCACGGTCTTCTCAGAGTGACAGGTTTGTTGTCGAGAATCACAGATAAGAGCAAGCGCGAGACCTACCACCGCGAGCAGGTTTTCAGTGCGCTACCAAAGCACTGTCGACCAGGATGGGTTTCGTGTCGTCCTGAAGTACACCGGGTTTCATGGCTATCTCATTCACGCGCTACACACTCCGTCCCCTCAATCCCACTCCCTTCCTTCTCCCGGATCTTGCTTGTTTCGCGGATGTATTGAAGGCGCTCTCCATGGCCATGTGCTCCGCCGCTAACTGCTTCGCAACCGCGGGGGGAAGCGAGTATATGGCGCGCGCGGACGTCATGCCCGGGTGGCTTGATTCTTCGCTCGCCGGTGAGTGGTTAAGTCAGGTCCATCACTCGCCAAGGTTCTTCCTTCGTTGTTGCCACCCGCTCCCGCGATACCGCAGTAATATTACCACTGGTCATCGGATGTCTTGTCGACGGGTTTTGACGTCGGATTGGGCCGTGGCAACCCCGCAGTTATTTCCATCGGGCGCGGTGTCCTGCTGTAGTGGTATCCGGCTGCGATCGCTGGTGTCGCCGTTGGTTGCTGGAGCTCTTCGTTCGGTTCCGGTGGCGGCAAGCATCTCAACACGAAGACAGGGATACCACAGCGTCGTGGCAGCGCTCTGGTGTTGCTCAAAGCACGTGTGCCTGGGCGTGTTCCGCAGGCTGAAGGGTGTCAAGTTGTATGCTTGCCGAGCTGGTGCACATTTTCTGGCTGTTGGGGGGTATGGCCGTGTCCTTCTCGATGGTGTGTTCGCGCGCCCTCGGCGTAGCTCGTCTGTTTGTGCTTGTTTCATGCGAACGTCTTGCGTGTATTTTCACTTTTGTGCTGTTGGAGTCTTCCGGTGTTGTTTGCACATGATTACAATTGCTTGTCCAAACGTTCCAGTTCTCAACCGTAGCCTTGCTTGCTTGGCGGCGTTCCCGTCTAATACGTGCGGCAGGATTGCAGCACGAGCGGGGCGAAGTTCGCCAGATGTGCTCCGCCCTCTTGAATAACTTTTCGCTCGTGCTCTCCGACGCGATCGCGAGTAAAACCGCTGCCGGGGGACCGGCGGTTGAGATGTCGGACGAGACGACGCAAATCCTCTTCGGAGCTTTGGACGGGTTGCAAGACGAGACATCACAGGTGTGTTTTTTCTCATTTACTGTACCATCGTCCGCGCTAACTTGCTCACCAATGGAAATACGTCAGTCTCAGTACGGCTGAAAACAGAAAGCACTCAAAATACCATAATCTGGGACCCCGCGAGGGGGCGTTACGGGAGGTGTGTGCGTGTGTGGGTGCTCATCATTAGGATCAACAGCGCTAACGGACTGACTAACGAAAAGACGTCAGTCTCAGTGCGTCTAAAACTAGAGCACGCCTCCAAAGGCTGGATTCAATAACGTGTGTAGTTGCGTATGCGTTTTTCTGTTTTCTTTTTACAGTGTGTAGCGTCTGCAGCTCTAGCCCGCTGACCAATGAAAGACGTCCGTCACAGCGGGATAAAGAGTGCGAAGGCGCTTTATATTTATAGTCCACGGGGTTCCCTGACAGGGGGGGGGCACGGAGGATATTGGAGGACAGGGTCCAGCCAGTTTCGGTATTCGGAGTAACTTCCGTGTGTGCGTGTCTGTGCTGCACGCCCCACCCCCTGCCCGATATCCCTCAGTTTGAATCTAGTTGTCAGGCAAATGCAAACGTGTACCCCATACAGTACCTGGTAGACAGTGGTGATGGCCGAGAAAATGTTACGTAGGGTGTGGCCTCAATTATTTCCACATCTCTTTGCCACTGCTGTGCACCAATGACAACCCGCCTCTTGTTGGAAAGACAGTTCGCCCATGTTCAACGTGTTTTCCCTGCTGCTGCTGCTGCTGCTGCTGCTGCTGCTGTTGCCTCTACAGTTGGTTGCGCTTCGACGTGTCTTATCCGTAGGGCGGTTGGTGCGAGCGAGCGGCTCGGAAGCAGCATCACTCATCAACGATGTCGGCTTGCGGGACCAGGTGCGGTTGAGTTTTTACGTGCTTCTCTCTCTTTCTGTGGATTTGGCTTCGTTGCGTGCCGCCAACACTTCTTACAGCATCGCCAGTGTAGCAAATAAAGACTGTGCGCCGCCGACTGCCTAGTCTTCGCGCGGTCGCAAGCCGTCGTTGGGGCGCAGATGGTGAAACCGCCAGAGGGGATGCTGGAAATTGCCGGGAGAGAAAAGTACGAACACCAGCCACCGCGGCTTTTTATTTGCTGCCTTCGTGTTGGCATTTTGATTCACATGCTGCAGTCGCCGCCAGAACTTCGAAACCAGGTAGAAATACTTGCCTTGTAAAAACAACTTCAAGAGTACCTGGTACGGAAGGGTGTAGATTCCGAAGTACTTGGACTGATAAAAAGGCAACTGGTAGAGTTCCTCTTCGTGTTCGCCATGACCATGCTTGGCCGCCGCCGTGTCCGTCGTAGGCTCCAAACAGTCTATGGCGCCGTCAGCCAAATGACATGTAGACTAAATGATCCCTCTCTCCCACGCCCCCGCCCCGCTGCAGGTGGAGGGCTTTCTGAGCAAGGCGAAGGAAGGAGAAGCGAAGAACGCCGCGGCAGAACTGCTGCGTCTTCTCGGATAGCCCCCCCCAGTATAGGCGACACGTCATGTACAGCGCTTGAAATGGGATATTAGGGGGGGCTGGGGGCAGCGACGGGTGGCTTGCGGGCAGAGTACAATTTATTCACTCGTTTTTCCGCTAACTGGAATCCCGCTCCGGTGTTGTGTTGTTCTTTCATTTTGTTTTTTGTCTGAGATTATTTGGTACACGTTTTGGGGTGCATGGGAGTCGACAGATGGTGACTCCTACCCGGGGTCTCAGAAAGGCTTTTGTTGGAAAAGTCTCGGGTCCATTGGTCGTCGCAGGGATCGTATGTTCGCATGTAGGTATTGCAGTACTGTCACAAGTACGTGTGTACTGGGAATGATGAGCTTCGTGTGATCCGGGCAAGTTCGCATTAGAGGGCCACGGTGTTTCCGTGAACCAGCCATTGCTAATATAGCGGAGGGAGTGCTGGTGGTGTTGTTATTTTTCTTCGTGTGCAGTGTGCAGGCGGTGCCATCTCCGTCGAATCGAATTTGAGCGCCTCCTCCTTAAACGCACTGCCCCCCCCCTTCTGTTGAATACCCCCCCGTCCCCCGGTTTTCTGTGGAGTACGAAAGTACGCGGTGATTGACCATCGGAAATACTGCTCCCCTAGTGCTCGTACTTTTTTTTTATGTATGCTGTGCTGTGCATATCGGCTACATGGGTCCAGCTTGGAAAGGTTTTGCGGACGTCTCGAGCATGCATGCCTACTCCGCACCACGGGTAATCATCAGCCTTTCTCACCTTTTGTGTAATTCCCTCACCGGTGTCTTTTTGCCCTGGAAAGGTGCGTGCACGGACGGGGCGAATGGCCCGAAGCACTTACAGTATTAGCATCGCCCTAGACGTGAGGGGCGGGCGCGCCCCTTCCGAAACCAAGCATGACTTGCGGACGACGGTGTCGTTGACATTCCGCCACAAGTGGCCCTCAATATGTACCCATCGCACCATTTTTAGAGCTCCACGGTGGGAAAACGCTGTGGTGTGGCGGTCTTCTATACCGACGCAGCACAGCAATTCATTGTGCCCTGCGAACAAAATTGTCCCTCCCCGAAGTACCCTTACTTTCATCACGGCCGAAACACACTAGAAACACTTCCTTGCACTTTTCTTCACCGAACACCGTCCAGGTCGGTGCTCCTCCGAAACTTTTGTGAACCCTAATTTGTTGTTTCTCATCCACGTCGCTCCTCGAACTTTCATAATCCACCTGTTCCCTGTGCGGACGTGGGACAACAAAAATGCCGCGGGGAAGTGATACACATCGATTCCCGTTAGCGGGGTGTCATGAGAAGGAGAGCCTGACGCCGTACACGGCAGTTGTTGCCATAAAACCTCTACCTCTGCAAGCCTGGTCCAGTTTCCCGTTCCCCCCCGCCCACAACAAGTCTAAGTCCCCACATCAGCAAACAAAGAAACTCTCAAAAAAGACGTGCACATCGTTACTTTAAATGCTCTGGTCAGAAACAACCGAACCACAACGGACATGTTCGACTCAATATACAAGTATCGATCCATTCGTGCCTTTCTACACCGGACCAAGCCCGACGCACGTGCGCGCTTTGCACCTGTTCGGTCTGTCCAACCGCAGCAGGATGGTGAGAAGCAATACAAGGAACAACGAAAGCAGCGTAAAGCACGGTACATCAAAACAAACAAGAGTTCAAGACAGGGCCATTCAATAGACTCGTCGAGCGACGTCTCGAGTTTTATCGGGCTCTCCTGTTCCTACACACACGTCAAAGACAGCTAGTTACGGAGCGCGATTGCATCGGTTTCGAGGACCGAAACGATGGGCACTCTACGCCTTGAAACCATTCAGACGACACCGTTTGACAACAGAGAGAAAGCGACCTGGGTGAACAGCAACGCTACTAAGCTACAGCCGCGCGCTTCCCCCTGTCTCCCCAAAGTCACCACGGTGTCCACACAGTCTTCACGGCACCCACCAACATCTACGGCGAAACCTGATAATATACAGCCCTACTGTACATGTAGCAAAAACGTCTCAGTGGGAAGAACCACCCGATCGACGTCTCTATGACTACCGACTACGAGCGCAACAGGGAATCATGCACCTGCATGTGAAGCCCAATCAAGTGTAAAGCGTAGAATGACAAAAAAAACAACAGCAGTGCGGGCCGTGCTGTGGTCGACAACCGCGTTCCTTGGAGTACCAACCCCATTGGACCATTGGACCTGGTTCATAAACTTTGGCGGCTTTGAAGTGGTGGCGGTCTTCCGGACAGCGATTGTGAGGTGATGGCGTCTGTCCCTCGATCGGACCGAACTCTAACTTCGGTGGCACAAGGGCCAATGCACGGCGGTGCAGCAAACTTCTTCCCTTTGGTGACTCAATTACACAGAAGCCAATGTACGGTACAACAGGTTTCTTGCCTTGGGCGACTCGTGCTTCTGTCGCGCACCTCCCCCCCCCCAAGAGGATTGTGACCCACGGTGCCCAACAAGCGGGTAGGAACGGAAACTGGGCACCTGCACGATGAAAACACAATAACAATCGAAAAAGCCTAGGCGGAGAAAAAAATAGGAAAAGTTGCAAAAAAATAAATCGTTTGCATTATTTTACGACACGGTACTCCTTTGACCAATAACCAGAAACGGGTATACCCGGGTACTTTATCACCACTTAAGGGTACACTTAAAAATCAACACGCTTGCACCTCCAGGCTGTCAGCTGATTGGCCGAAAAACCATTGTACCCATTTCTGAAGAAACCTCCATCGGGTACAACTTCCGCTGGAATTAGGACCCTCTGGTGTGACCGATATTGGTTACTGGTGTACCTGGAAGTTTTCGATTTGAACCCAGAAATGGCCATATAATCCCGGCGCCAGACGCTCTAGCATAAAACCCGCAGAAAAAAACGTGTACCGCACATACCGTATACCGCACATACGTAACCACGACCAAACCACCAACAACGCTCGTTCGTTCATCGTTCATGGGCACCGCCTCCATAGGATACCGGCCCCTCAANGCTGGAATTAGGACCCTCTGGTGTGACCGATATTGGTTACTGGTGTACCTGGAAGTTTTCGATTTGAACCCAGAAATGGCCATATAATCCCGGCGCCAGACGCTCTAGCATAAAACCCGCAGAAAAAAACGTGTACCGCACATACCGTATACCGCACATACGTAACCACGACCAAACCACCAACAACGCTCGTTCGTTCATCGTTCATGGGCACCGCCTCCATAGGATACCGGCCCCTCAAAACAGAGGGTCGGACTCGCTTGACGCGCGAGTACTTCGGTGTGGTACTGATCAGTAAAAGCACAGAGAGAGAGGCACAGAGAGAGAGAGGCACAGAGAGATAGAGGCACAGAGGGATACAAAAACGGACACGACCTGCCTCGTGCATCATGCTTCCAAGGCACAGGACACAGGACACAGACAGCGGTTATTGGTTTCGCCGCGATCTACGACGGATGCTGTCGGAGATTGGTGTCGTGTTGATTTCCAAATGTACCCTGAAATGGTGATAATCCACCCGGGTATACCCGTTTCTGGTTACTTCTCTACTCCTTTTGCCCTCCACTGCTACTATGGTAAGCCGAAAACAACAAGAAAGGGTGAAAAAAAAGGCAAGGGTTGCCGAGATATAAATTGGACGTCCTTTTTTTACGACACGGTACAGGCGTCTCCTTTTGCGGGCCGGCCCATCGATCTCGTCGACGCGCTGTTCCCGGACGATTTGATCCACATCTCTGGCTTCATGCTGCTGACGGACGCTTCTACGTCGTCATCATCGCCTCGAGGGCTCAAGCGACCATCGTCCCCAAATGACACCTGGCAATATCAAGCGGTAGGGCAGCAAAGACACACGGCGTGACCGCTGGGTGACTTAATGACTGCTGTAGCGTTCATCACCCCCACATGACAAATGAAAAAAACAAAGCGGTAGAGAAAAAAGACATACATACCGCTGGGTAACTCATGTTGCTGCTGTCGTGCACCCCTCCCCACCAAGGCACACTGCGGTGCCCCACAATCGGGCAAGGACGGAACCACGGCCTACGAGCGCCTGCCGCCTGCACCTTGCACATGCCCGAGGGTGACGCTGGCCAATACTCAGGCATGTACAGATTCACCACGCCACGTCAATGGTGCTACAGCAGTCGAAGACGAGAATACACCGGTTGCAAGGCCCATCATCACCGTCGTCACCCGGCTGGATAGGTGACACATGTCGCAATGGGGATCGATGCAATTTCCGCGAAGGAAAAAACTCCGGCAAAACCAATGTGCAAGAGGACACCAATTTTGGGGGTGTATTTGGGCAGAATGGGGTGGGGGCGGGGGTATGCAGTATTAATCTGACCAACCACCGACGTCGCATTCCTACCAAGGTGGGGCGTGGCACACAGAGTTTTACCGGACGGACCAGGCGGAAAACACCATGTGCGAGGGTGCTCAAACACCAGTGTTGTAGTTCACAAGGACTTGCACAAACTACGATGCTCCGTATGAACCATGGCTCTTGCAACGGCAAGAGGGCTGCTCACATCTGGAGAGCAGAACACGCACTGCCACCATGGTCTCCCCTCTCGGTCGTCGACGTCCTCATAGGAAACGTTGGCTCCCTCAAGCGGATGCTCCTGCACAAAAATATCCGTGCAAACATAGACCACCATGGTCGGAGTGTATGGCCGCGTCGAGAGCAGGAAGAAGCAGGAAGAAAAGAAGGTTGAGAACAGGATGGAGGGAGGGGGGGGGGG